GTAGGTGTTTTAGAGGGCGCGACGGAGGCCGCGGATGATCGCTCAGCTGAAACGATGGTCACGGCGGACGACGCAGCAGCTTTTCTCGCCAGTATAGGCGACACGGGAGCGGCAGGCACGACAGAGGCTGCGGTGCTCAATGCAGAAGCTCTGCACGCAGGTACAGGCGACGCAGGAGCAGCGAGCGCGGCGGAGTCCTCGAGAGGGCTCGCAGTGTGATTGGCCTTGAAGGCCAAAAACTCCGAGGCGAGCTGTGGGTGGCGAAGTCGGAGGAATTCCGCGAATACAGCGTCCATGATCGCTGAGTACCCAGGTGGGGCGGCCCCGGGTCTTGAAAACACTCGCCTTGCGGCGAGGCCCCAACTTCTCGGACCTGAGCGGTTCTATTGAACACAGGTGGCAATGCGGCGCGATTACTACAGGACAAAGAAAAAGCACAACAAAACAGAAATTACGAAAAGAAACAAAACAAATAAATACTTGCAGGAAACCACTTTGTCGGCAGATGTACCACGAACACAGAAACAACAAAAGGAAACAAAACAAATAAAAACTTCCAGAAAGAGCACTTAGTCGGCAGATGTACCACAAACACAGGCCGCGCGAACAATGGCCGGGCTAACAAAGGCCGGGCGAACAAAGACCGGGCGATCGAGTGGACGATGAGCACGTCCGCACGTGACGGGTGCCTCTATCGGAATGAGTACAATGGTAACCAAAGTTTTGATATATGCAAACATTATGTACTTATCAAATGGAATTTGGTCAACAGAAAAACAATAAGCAAATGAACTAGACATAATTAAAAACTAAGTTGAACATTCGGTTTCGTTAAGATGAAATAAATCGTTTCGCCCATTTAGGTCAGTGCACGAAGATAATCACCGACAGAAGTGCAAAGAAAAACGCAGCGTTTATTCCGGACAGTGTGATCGCGCCGTTACATTCGTCACTGTCGCAGCAGTACGTGCGGGCTCCCCACCACTCTGGAACAATCAAAATTTATTTTTACACCAAAAGTGTTTTGTCTAAAAATTTGTACATTTCTATTACTTTAAATCAAATGATTATAGAGATTCAAGAGACATCATAGCGTGAGTTCCGAATCCAATTTTTTTTTATTGCTTAAGATGGTGTACGAGCTCACGGCCTACCTGGTGTTGAGTGGTTACTGGAGCCCATAGACACCTACAACGTAAATGCCGCCACCCACCTTGAGATATGAGTTCTAAGGTATAGTTACAACGGCTGCCCCACCCTTCAAACCGAAACGCATTACTGCTTCACGGCAGAAATGGGCAGGGTGGTCGTACCCACCCGCGCGAACTCACAAGAGGTACTACCACCAGTATTGTTTGATTTACAAATATCGGCCAGTTTTTTATTGCACAGTCCGGCGACCGAACCCAGGACCTCTTATAGTATTAAATGATTACCGAAACCCATTGATATCTCAACGTTAATCCCGTCACTAGTTTGAGATATGAGATTTAAATCTCATTTGTTGAATCTCATTGTCAGAGCGGCTCTGAAACAGCTTTTTTTATTATCCTTGTAGGCAGATGAGCATACGACCCACCTGATGGTGAATGGTTAATGGCAGAGCCAAGCCGCTGCCTACCGTAAAATTCACCCACATCCATCCATTCACATCCGCAATTGCTTCGTGGTTGAAGTGGGCATGCCCGTATCATCTCTTTGTGTGGGCTTATAACATGCCCTACCACCTGATTGATATCACTGGAGTTCAATATCATCAACATTATCAGTTGTCAGACGACCACTAATGGACATATAATTTCTGAGTGGTCACAGCAACGACCCACGCTGAACGTGCTTTTGCGCCCTTAACCAACTCCTCGATCCATCTTCTCTTTATCTACCAATCCAGCCCTCTCCAGTGCGTCATCTGCTCCTGCAGTCTTATTTTTCTACGAGCAATATGCCAATTGCGATTTTTGGTGCTATATCGGTTTCATGTCATTCTCTTGCCTTCTCCCAGTCACCTGAGATCGGCGCAACATGTTTTCTCCTTCTATACTCTTCTCTCATATCCCTTATTTCTTCGCTCACTCCCCTCTTACACATGTCGTCTTTCACGCAATCCATCCATTTCTTCTTAGGTCTATCTCTTCCTCTAATATTATTATTAGGTGTTATATCGGTTTCAGTAGTTCAATATCATGTATAATACAACATACCCACAAGTCCTTGGCTCAAGCGCTAATTTGCATTTCCCCCAAACAATGTTAGTGTTAATAACAAGTCGTTATCCGCAACGCCCCATGTTGACTCAAGATTATTAATTAAGATAATGAGTAGGATGTGTAATTTTGGCTTGAACACATTAACTATATATTTTAATAGCGCTAAATGTGTCTTATACAAATATGCCTTTGGCTTTTAGTATTAATAAAATGCAAAACGGTTTTTTCATTATTATTTTTTGTTGTTTCAATAGGTGGACGTGCTCACAGCCCACCTGGTGGTAAGTGGTTACTGGAACCCATAGACGTCTAAAACGTAAATATGCCACTCACCTTGAGATATAAGTTCTAATGTCTCAGCTTAGCTACAACGGCTGCCCTTCAAACCGAAACGCATTACTGCTTCAAGACTGTTAGACTAAATATGTATTAACCCGAAAGCAAGAAGAACCGAAATATATAAATAAACACGAATATCTATCTTTATCTATTAAGTATACTATACTACATACTATATACTACTATACTATAAACAAACGTTTTCCACGCCATCACCAACTCGCCTCTTATACGAGCAGACTTCATTATTAATTCCGCACGGATGAATACAAACGGATGATTTAATTAACGCTTTGTGCGATTTTAAAATAGTTTACTATTAATTAAACACAGCATTTCCTTGTTTTTTGTGTAGTTTAAAAAAACCCAGATGGTCTTTTTATATCTTTAGGAGCACGTGTAACGTGCCTTTAACTCATTAAAGAGTTTTCAAGCGTAGAAAGCGTTAATTATGCACGTGTTTAAAATAAGAGCTAAAGGATGCAAGTGTATTTTGGTGTTGAGATGTAGTGTGCGTCCGCTACAGTTTTCATCGCCATCCTGTCTTAAACCTTGGATAACGATTGAATTATAATTATTGTGACATTTCGTAGGGTTTGAGTTACAAATAAAATTTCGCTGTCGTTGTCGTGACCTAAAGGATAAGACGTCCGGTGCATTCGTATCTAGCGATGCAACGGTGTTCGAATCCCGCATGCGGGGTACCAATTTTTCTAATGAAATACGTATTTACTGGTGAGTCCGCGCGGGAAGGCACCACCACCCCGCCTATTTCCGCCGTGAAGTAGTAATGCGTTTCGGTTTGAAGGGTGGGGTAGCCGTTGTAACTATACTGAGACCTTAGAGCTTATATCTCAAGGTGGGTAGCGCATTTACGTTTTAGATGTTTATGGTCTCCAGTAACCACTTAAGACCAGGTGGATTGTGAGCTCTTCCACCCATCTAAGCAATAACAAATATATATATGAAAGATCTCGATTTTCAATACACTTTTTAACTACATGCTTTAACGATCAATATAAGCGAACATTAAGTCGAAATAATGGCTTCACATAAAAAATGCAATACCTCTAATACTTATAGACCTGTATAAAACTCGTTGAAGCGAAAGATTAATGCCCCCGTGTTCCATTCTGTCCCGGTTCGTCCGATACTGATCTGATTCACTGAACCGTTATTCAGCTCTTTAAAACTGATTCACTACATGAACACCGTTGTGTAAGGCTACGATCGTATAGAAAATACGTTCGATATAATGACATCTATACTAATATTATAAAGAGGAAAGATTTGTTTGTTTGTTTGTTTCGAATAGGCTCCGAAACTACTGGACCGATTTGAAAAATTCTTTTTCCATTAGAAGCCGACATTGTCCCTGATGAACATAGGCTACTTTTTTTAAATTTTATTTAATTTTATTTTTTTGGTTTCATGTGTGTTTTAATGTTTCCGAAGCGACGCGAGGGCGGGTCGCTAGTTTATAATATAGCTTGAGTTTATATGAAAAAGGACAGAACCTTACGTAAAAATCTTACCTCCTACCCTACCTACCTTACGTAAAAATCGCATCCAGAAGACTGGTTTTGTTTATTACTGGTGGCAGGACCTCTTGTGAGTCCGCACGGGTAGGTACCACCGCCCCGCCTATTTCTGCCGTGAAGTAGTAATGCGTTTCGGTTTGAAGGGTGGGGCAGCCGTTGTAACTATACTGAGACCTCAGAACTTATATCTCAAGGTGGGTGGCGCATTTACGTTGTAGATGTCTATGGGATCCAGTAACCACTTAACACCAGTTGGGCTGTGAGCTCGTCCACCCACGTAACCAATAAAAAATAATCGTACAATCTGCTAACGCCTTATCTTTCGATCCTCCCGTTACAATAAAACCGAGGCAACTCGACTTTTATTTTATTGTGACACAGATATTCGCTTCGCATACATATATTACCCTGTGATTTTCCCGGATAACGAACTCGGATTTTTATACGGATGTTAAACAGACAATAAAACTGACCCGAGGTAAAATTTTACTTGCTTATTTTTTTTTCTGTTTGTCTTTATAGCGGTTTTTTAGGTGCTGCAATGGATTTACTGGCTTGGTAATACATTGATAAGTTTACCTACAGAGTTCGGTTGCTATGAAACTTGATGAAGGTTTTATTTATTTATTTTTTATTGCTTAGATGGGTGGACAATCTCACAGTGGTTACTGGAGCCTATAGACATCTACAACGAAAATGCGCCACCCAGCTTGAGATATAAGTTCTAAGGTCTCAGTATAGTTACAACGACTGCCCCACCTTTCAAACCGAAACGTATTACTGCTTCACGGTAGAAATAGGTAGGGTGGTGGTACCTACCCGCGCGGACTCACAAGAAGTCAAAAATCTATAGTAATCTTTACAAATATTACAAATGACCGGTATAAGTTTTTTTTATCAGTTAATATTACCATAAAACTAAACAAAAATGTAACTAAATTAATAATAAATGAATCAGTAATCTTTGTTAACAGTAAATAAATGGCTGGAATAAAAATAAAATTGACCTGCTATTATACTTTAGGATTTTTTATTGCCTCTTCAGGTAGGTACGGCCCACCTGATGGAGAGTGGTCACTGTCGCTTATGGCGACACGAGAACCCTCATCGTGGTCGCCGGTAACTACATTCCCGATCCTGCGGATCAGTCGACGTCGCCCAAAACACGTCATTTCAGATCCTCCCGATCCACTAACGGTGCTTTTAGGTACCTTTTTTTTTTGCTTAGATGGGTGGACGAGCTCACAGCCCACCTGGTGTTAAGTGGTTACTGGGGCCCGTAGACATCTACAACGTAGACGCGCCACCCACCTTGAGATACAAGTTCTAAGGTCTCAGTATAGTTACAACGGCTGCCCCACCCTTCAAACCGAAACGCATTACTGCTTCACGGCAGAAATAGGCGGGGCGGTAGTATATATCCGCGCGGACTCACAAGTGATCCTACCACCAGTAATTACGCAAATTATGATTTTGCGGGTTTGATTTTTATTACACGATGTTATTCCTTCCCCGTGGAAGTCAATCGTGAAATTTGTTGAGTACGTATTTCATTAGAAAAATTGGTACCCGCCTGCGGGATTCGAACACCGTTGCACCGCTCAAAACGAATGCACCGGATGTCTTATCCTTTAGGCCACGACGACCTCAAGCACCGATCACCGTTCTCGTCGGACCCGTCGCTTGTGACGAAGGACTCGCCAAATAAATTAACCCACAGACACAGCCCACTGAGTTTTTTGCCGGACCTTCTCAGTGGGTCGTGTTTGTGATCTGATGGTAGATTCTACGAAGCACGGCTCTTGCTAGGGTTCGTGTTAGCAACGTCGTCAGGTTTGAGCCCCACGAGCTCACCTACTAGTTCGGTGAATCTAGAATAACCCCTCGAGGATACTAGAATACATTGGAAAAAAGTCGCTCATGGACCTCAGCAATGCCGGGGACACAGCCTAGCCGCTGCCTACCGAACTTATACTGAAAAAGTCATCGATTTTCATTAAAATTTTTCAAAGCAGTATTTCAAACAATAAACAAAGACTTATAATTCTTAATATACGAAAACATGAAATTTATAAATCACCTTTCTCGCTACAGGTCGGCACGCAGTCTCGAACAGTCGTCAGTTCGCTCACGTATTTCTGTAACAAATTACATTCGATTAATAATCAGTTATTTTAGCGTTGGATTCTCTTGTTTAGAGAGTTTTGTAATTTATTACGGGCACCTGGTGGTCGGGGGTTGTCTTAAGAAAAAATGGGTTAGTATTTATTAAACTGGACGGTTAGTCGCGCTCATCTCAGTTTGAGGTCTGTGTCTAAATTACATTGTGTACAGGTGGTACATATGTATCTCTAAATTTTGTGAGTTTAATTTTTATTACACGATGCTATTCCTAGAACGGCGAAGTCGTTTATAAAAAGAAGATGTATGGTGTCGTGGGACACCGGATAGAAACGAAGTTCCTTTCGATTAATTAGTGAAGGAATTGTAAAAAAATGTTAATTTTTTTTAAGTTATAATATATTTTTTTTTATTATTAACAAATATAATGTTATATAAGAGAGAGAGAGAGAGACAGAGAGAGAGACAGACAGACAGAAACATGCGACGCCGCACAGCTTACAATAGCTTACTATAGCAAAAAGTATCGTGACAACTTTTCGTAAGAATTTTTTCCGTCTAGCCCCCTTTCACAACGCGCGATAAGGAACTTCGTTCCAAAATATTAATTTTCAGTTCTGTTCGAGGTATAAAGAAAATAATTATTCGGGTATACATTTTTTATTAAGATTTTTTATTGATAAAAATAAAAATAATCGCAAGGATCAACCGCTCCGCAGTGCAATGGAGCAGCCTCGCCCTGGGAGAATCGCCTGCATGATCACGGTATCCCCTACGCCAGGTCAGTATGATTTAGCAAGAGAAATACGAGAACCTCTATCAACCGTGTAACATCTCTTCACCGCGGTTCAGGAATTGTTGAATTTACGTGCAGTGACATATGTTGCTAACAAACTAAATAAAAAAAATCTTACGTTACGGATGCTTTTTCCCGGTTAGGGTACCCCTCCGCATAGTCCCATAAGGAACTTTGTTCCAAAAATATATTTTTTGTTTATTGTCTTTAAAAGCTGCCGAGTATACATCCCATCTGATTGTAAGCAGTCACCGTCGTTTATGGGCGTCAGAAATGCCAGGGGTACCAAGCCGCTGGTACCATTGAGCACTCCCCGCAAATCTCTTTTGAACAAGGACATGTCATAGCACTCGAGAAACACGGAGTTCATCTAGAGCCAGATGGTACGAGACAGAAAATAGTTTCTGCAAACGCACTGTGGATGAATTCTGCTCTGGTGGTGCGAGGTGAGGTGGTAAAAATGGAGATGAATAATCATCATCAAATACTCTAAAATGTATACCAGATTAATTACTAGACATAGAATGTAGGGTTCTGCACAGATTGGTTTCCATATATCGACTTAATTTAGTTGTTAATTAGTCATGCGTTTCTCGATTGAATATCAGCCAGGCTTTGAGTCTGTATAAGCAAAATAAAAAAGGTTGCCCTAAGAATCGATTTCATCTGCTCAAGTCCCGTCAGACCCTTCCCCATGTTTTGCCGCAAAATCTAAGACGTCAGAGACGTAAGAGGCTGTGAAGATATCTTTTTCTCATTTCCCACATCATTTATCAAACTTTTCATAATATGAAGGGGCTTCCTGTTAACATTATGGTCGTATTCATAAATGAAGGTACTTAAAAAAATGATAAATTAACCTATATTTTTTTATTTCATAGTAGGGTGGACGAGCTCACAGCCCACCAGGTGTTAAATGTCCCTCGAGAACATTCTCGACAGAACTGAAACATACGAGAATGTTCTAGACTCGTCTGAAGGATGGGACAGCCGTTGTACTGTAAAAACTGAGACCTTAGAACTCATGTCTTAAGGTAAATTGCGGCATTCACATTGTAGATGTCTATGGGCTCCGGTAGCCACTTAAAATCAGGTGGTCCGTGAGCTCGTCCACCTACCTAAGCAATAAAAAACATTCGAGAGATGTCAGAGCTATTTCGTTATCCGTTTTTGCTATCTAAAGGTAGAAGGCATTACTCAGGTATATGACATGGAAGGCAGATCAATATCGGCTCCAGTGAGTTGAAGCAACGACAACAATATAGACGGAGCTTAAAAGCTTCCTCTGGACTCTGGGATACGAGTACACAACCTAAGAGAATCTCAAAGCACCGGATCAAAATGCAAAGCGAGCTTTTCGAAAGCAGTAAAAACATCAGTAAGCTCAGGGTAATTATAAAAGGCCCTCGACTCATGAAAAGCCCTTTCATATTAAGTTGAGTGACAAACAGAGCAAAAGTTTTTTGCATTTCAGAAGTGCTTTCTAAAGGCCGGCTAATTAATTCTATTTAGCAAAGAGTTAAACACGGGGCCCTTTTCACCGCGTCTCTTCCGTTTTTTCATGTAGTTTTTTGTTAATGTTTGAATTTTATTTTTAACTAGCAGAGTCACGCGATGCTACGCGGTTATTGTCGTACCCTAAGTAGCCTAAGTTACTTCTTATATCACCTACCTATCAGTGAAAGTCTCGTCAAAATCGGTCCAGCCGTTCCAAAGATAAGCCGGAACTAACAGACAGACAGACAGACAAAAATTGTAAAAAATGTTATTTTGGTGTATGCACCGTATATATATATATATATTGATACGTATGTTGTAAAAAGCGGTTATTTCAATATTACAAACAGACACTCCAATTTTATTTATATGTATAGTTTTAATTTTTTCGTTAATGTATGAATTGAATTTTAAAATAATACTTTATCGGGTATAGTTTTAAAAATGATTTTAGATGTTCAACCGCTGAACAGATCGGCGTTTCATGAACTTGACGGCTCAGGCCGGTGACATGGTGTTTATAAAATGGTGACGTCAGCATTAGGGCCCTGAAACTGCGATACTTTAAGACATATAGGCTATAGGTTTTAATCTTATTTGAAAAAAATTAGGAATCCTTACTAAAACTCCAATAATGTAACCCAAGGTGTAAACAAAATACCTAAAATATTCTTTAAGTCGCGTGCCCTGCAAAAACTATTGATGATAAAATAAAATAATGTACTACGACTTTGTAGAACACATTATTATTTACAAAAGGTGGCGCGACAGCATATATCTAACTATTATAGTTGTGCCGCAATAAGTGTTATTTTATTTAAAAAATAAAACAACGTCAAATATCGTTGAAATTTTTTTTAAAGACCCGAGCGGAGCCGGAGCGGCCTGCTTGTATATAATAAAGACAAAGAGCAAATAAACCTGCTCATTAGACGAATGTTTGCTGATGGGGAAGTCGGATACACAACCTTCGACCCAACAGTTCGGAGCGCTTGCTACTTACTACTACTGAATTAGTTATACAATTCATTCTAAATCAATTATTTCTTATGTAATCAGTACAAGGGCACCGAAATCAGATATCTAACACATAAAGCTTACTAGCTCGCACCAATGAAAGAGAATGTTTGTAGCAGTCAATAGTTAGGCCCGACTCAAATTGGGCACGTCTTATGCGAGAATTAATACAGTGAACAGTAAGCCTAGACATAGTTTTGGTCTGTAAATTTAAGGGCAGGTACACACGCGGTACTAATTGAATTAATTTGTCATGTAATATTTTTTTTTTTATAACAACTAAGAGGCAAACGAGCAAGACGGGTCACTTGATGGTAAGTGATTCACCGCCGCCCACGGTCACCAGCGCTTACGCCAGTGCGTTGCCTACCCTTCAGATAAGAATATGCTCTTCGGTCAAATGGAGATAGCTGATAACCCGGAGCCCCGGCCCAAAGGTGGCAACAATACTCCATGTGAGGCCGCACCTGCGCCTTATACAGTTTAAGGCGGTGAGCCGGCTTGAAGTACTGTTTGAGTACTTGAGTACTCCGAGTTTTTTGGAGGCCATTTTAGCCTTGCTCTCCAAATGACCGCCAAACTGGACAACACTCGAAATGTCTACGCCCAGAATGCCAATGTTCGGCTTGGCACAAAGGTGAGTGTTTCCGAAGAGTGGCGATGCGACAAAGGGGGCTTTTTTAGCGGTAAACGCGCAAACTTGAGTCTTAGAAGGGTTAAACTGGACTAGATTTAGTCCCCCCCAATCGGAAATCTTCACAAGGGATGATTCGATTTCAGACACAAGTTTGTTCCGACACTCATCGACGTGATCCCGAGAGATATTGCTGCGGCCGAAATACAGTGCATCCACGGTACTGTCATCCGCAGCAATGAATGCCACTGGTATGCAACAAATCATTGATATGCAGAATTAACAATGTCGGGGATAACACGCAGCCTTGGGGAACACCAGCATTTACGGTCCGGAGGTCCGAGCATGAGCCGTCTACGACGACTTTAACTCTCCGTTCCGCAAGGAAACTGCCGATCCACCTACAAAGTCTCTCAGGAAGCCCATAGGAAGGAAGCTTCGAGAGTAAGGCTTAGGTTTTTTTTATTGCTTTTTTTGGTAGAGAAGTATACGGCCCATCTGAGGGTAACTAGCCGCTGTCGCTCATCGACTATGATTGCTACTGCTACTGCTGAGGACCCCCGCAGACTTTGAAGTATAAAAACTCTGTGGCTTTTAAATTTGAAACCTACTGTATTTTTGTGAATATGCTGCTATTTTCAAAGTACCTGCCTTAATAATTCTAAATGAAAAGTCTTCTTAAACTGTATTTAATTCTTAAGGTTTCTGTTCAGCTCTAAATTTTCATTTAAACAAGAAAAATTATGTAAAAAAACTTAATCTCCAATTTGTATGCATAACAAATGCGCCCTGGTATTCCTCCCGTTGTAACGCGTTTCATTTTTCTATGGGTAAACAGATGCTTGTGTCAATCCTTATCATCACGTATGGAGGTGGTCACAATCCTCAGAGAGAAAAATACCCAGCGTCACCCGAATCATGTCATTTGGCATGATAAAATCATTTTATATGCTAAATCACCTTATACGATAATGGTTTAAAATCTATTAACATTGCATAACTTGACATTACAAGTTCTTCAGTAGCCGCTAAGTTCCAGTAAAGCCGAATCTCTTTCTCTTTCTCTTACTAGC